GTTGGAACAGTGTCACGAGGACGGTTGGCATCCGGTTGAGTACTTCTCCCAGAAGGTGCCTCTCGTCAACACTCTTGATGGCGCTAGGAAGAAAGAGCTACTCGCGTTCGTCACCATCCTCAAACGGTGGCGCCACTTTCTTCTCGRCCGTCGGCGTTTTAAATGGAATACGGATAACAATCCGTTGACATTTTACAAAACGCAGGACACGGTCACTAGTAYGRTCRGTCGATGGATGTATTACATCGACCAGTTCGATTTTGACCCGTGTCACATTCCCGGTCCCGCCAATCGAGCGGCGGACGCCCTCTCACGACGGCCAGACTTTTGCGCCATTGTGACCACGGCATTCGACCTCAATAACGATCTGCAGCAGCATTTCGTCAAAGGTTACAATTCCAATCCGACGTACTCTACGCTTTATGCGGAGCTTTCATCGGATCACCCGCCGGCTAGCCATTACCAGATTTCCGACGGGTTCCTTCTCCTTCACACGAGAGGAACGGACTTGTTAGTTGTGCCCCAAGATCGTATCTTACGGACTCGTCTTCTCGGCGAATTCCACGATGCACGACTTTCGGCACACCTTGGCGTGAACCGCACACTCGCACGCCTCCACCAGCGTTTTCACTGGCCCGACGTTCTTCACGACGTCACAAGGTAGTCATGTGCAGTTTGCCACCGTAACAAGGGTCGATCTCGAGTCCCCTTCGGCGAACTGAAACTGTTCCCGATCCCTCAGGCACCACGCCTCTCCATTGCTATGGACGTGACAGGCCCGTTTCCCCGCGATCGCCACGGCCATGACGACATTCTCACGGTCGTTGACCATTTGAGTAAGTATGCTCGCTTTCTTCCTTGCAAGTATCATGCTGCAGCGCCTGAAGTCGCACGACTCTTGCACACCCGTTGGATTACCAACCAAGGTGTTCCGGAAGACATAGTGAGCGACCGAGACACTCGCTTCATGTCAGCCTTTTGGACTTCTCTCATGACGGAGTCCGACACGACAATGAAGCCGAGCTCGGCTCGGCACCCGCAGACGGATGGTCAGACGGAGCGAGCRCACCAGACCGCTCAGATGATGTTGCGTACGCTCATCCGTCCCGACCAGAAAGATTGGGTTGACC